GGATGGGTTGAGGCAACAGTGTACTCCATTCTCTTCACAGTGAGCTGTAGCTGTCCTCCAGCCCCTCTCCAGCTGACCTCGACCCTGTGTGTCCTCAGCCCAAGGCGGCCTCTGCCATGCTCCTGGCCCCAGGCTGGACTGGGCCTGCCTGACTGCCTCAGTGGCCTCCTCACTGGGTTCTTCCTATCCTCTTTCCAATCCACGTGTTTTGTCAATAAAGCTTTGAAGTATTCCATGCCAACAATGTTGCACCTCTCAGGCGGCAACCTCATCTGCCCCTCTGGCACGTGGCTCCCACCCTTCCACCAGCTGGAGCAAGGGCTGTTGGCCTGGCTTCCACGCTGGCTCTGTACCCCATCTGTGCTTCCCAACAGCACGCAGTGCACCCGCTGCTTCCTGTCCCTGCCTGCCACTCCTGCCTGTCCCTGTCCTGCACATGCACACTAATAGTCCTCCTTGGGCTGCAGGGCATGGGTGACACAGACTTTCCCACCCAGGCTGCGGTACTTTTCTGAGGCTCCCAGAGCAGCCGCTCAGTGTGTGGCCAGCAGCAAGGCCACACTTCCCTTTGCCCTGATAGGTGAACCCTACGCCCTCACAGTTGCTCCTGCCAGGCAGGTCAGAGGGCAGCTGGCGCCAGGGTTAAGCCAGGACCACACACAGAGAGCTGGGCGGAGGATAGTCGGTCGCCTGGACCGTGTAGGCAGGGCTGCTTAAGCCAGGAGCGCACGAGGCCCCAGGTATTCTGTTAAAGTGCTGGTTTTGACTCGGTGCGTGAGGAGAGGGCTTGGTGTGAACTTCACATTTCCAGTGACGCTGGGGCTATGGGTCCTCGGACCACGACAGACTACAGAGCAGGCACAGACAGAGTGACAGGGACATGAGCAGGAGCCAGCTCCTTTTCCCTCCAAGGTGCTCTTAGATGGGTCCTTGGCCACCTTTGATCTCCCAGCATCACAGTGGACACCACAGGACAGAGGGCCTGGTACAAGTCAGCCTGACCGCTGCTGCCCAATGGAAGCACAGGCTGTCCTCTGACCTTCAGGGGCACCTGAATACTCCTGAGACCAAAGATGTAAGCCTGAGCCAAGTCCTAGACATTCACTTGCACTGTCCCAAGTGCTCCTGGGAGCCCTGCACATGTGGGCGTGTGGGCATGTGGGTGGGTATGTGTGTGAGAGAGTGAGAGAGAGAGAGAGAGAGAGAGAGAGAGAGAGAGAGAGAGAGAAGGGCCTTGGGATGCTTTCCAGAAGGCACTATGGGGGTGCTGAGAGCACCTCCCCAGTGGACAGCACTGCAGAGAAGACCAAGAGCACTGAATCACACAAGAGACAGGCTCTGGGAGGACAAGGGTCTTGGAATCAGATGTGACACTGGCGCCATACCTGTTTCCTTCATGGGCAAGAGGCCTCTCCCTGGCTCAGTTGACTACTGAGGTGGAAGACACAAGCCTTGGAAAGACCCAAGCCCTGGAGCATGAGATGGGAGGTGTCCCAGAGAGGGGGACATCTGTACAGACAAAGGGGCATGCACTCTGCAGCCCTTAAAGAGCCACACACAAGGTGTTGCCAAGATGTGAGAGGGAGGGGCAGGCAGACTCTCTGGGACACGGGGCAGGGCCCACTCACCCGCCTGGACAGCCAGGAAGTTGTAGAGCTCATGCAGCAGCTCCAGCAGGGCCGCCTTCTGCTTGGCCTGGCAGAACTGCAAGGCAAGGACAAGAGTCAGTGGGGTCAGCCTGTTCTTCCTGCCTCTCCAGCCACAGCATCCGGCGCACCCTGACAGCAAAGGGCAGCTTGTGACTTAAAAAAAAAAGAGAGACCAGTTCTGCAGAGTACCAGGCCCAGGGAAAGGAAACAAATAGCGGGTTAAGGTGTTGGGGACACTGTGAGAGCGCACCCTGAGCACAAACAGATATGTTACCACGGGGATGGCTTTCCAGAGGCTCCTGGTCTCTTTGGAATGAAGGCTAGCAAGGGGCTGATGACAGTGGTGGCTTCCTTGGATGGAGGAACCATCACTGCTGGGCCCTCCGTCCAGTTCTGGGGGGGACCTGGGGCCTTCGTAGGTTGGGACTGCATGAGAGATAACACATCCACTCCTGCCTGTCTGCAAGTCTTCAGTAGCATGGAAACTGTGTCACAGTACTCAAAGGCCCAGAGGCGAAAGGGTGCTTATGGAATACTCAGATGCCCACCTCCGTTCTGGGTGGGCCTGGACCCACGCTCAGGAGACTTAGGGTCCACAGAGGAGTCACAAAGGTCGTTCTAACCTTCCTTTGCTCAAGGCCAACAGCCTTGAAGGCCAACAGTGCCCCAGGAAGTCAGGGGGGATATGCCCTAGCCCTGCTGTCCCACAATCAGATATGGGCTCCCAGACTACAAAGAGAGAATCTCTAGGTCTGGCCCGCAAGTTGCAGAAGCTGTCTGCTCACCAAGTACATCTGTGGCAGGGACCTGGACAGTGGCCCTGCGCTCAGCCAGCTCAGAGAAGGACCTTGGGGAGTGGACATTTACTTGGGGCTTGACATTTAGGGATACGGAGGACCAGGGAACAGAAACCAGGAGGCTTTTTCTAATGAAAGGGCAAGTGCAGCTCACATCGCTGGAGGAGTCTTACTGAACTTATTTTTCCCTGTTTTTGCTTTTTAGTCTCCAACATTCGAGTTTCCCCCGGCCACCTATGTTTCTGGGCCACTTGCTCTCATCACCCACTGCAGTTTTTATGATGGAAGGCAGATGAAACTGAGGAATCTGGCTCTGCAAAGCAACTGAGCAGCACATTCTGTGGATGAGTGCAACAAATGATGTTATAAAACACCCCAACATGATGCACCAGAAGCCAAGGAAAAACAAAACTGGTAATGTGCAGCAGGGTGCCCTCATTAACGAGGGTAGCGGGGTCCATCGGTGCAGGTCCATCCAGTGACCGCGCGTCATCTCTCTCAGCCCCTGGCATTGCACACTTAATAATTAGACTCCTAAGCTGTGCCCTCTGGCGGTGCGAGCTCCTCCTGGTAGGATTTATGGCCTGAACATTTATTGCCTCCTGTCTCCCCAGACTACTGCGGTACCCGCATCCTGGCTGCTTACTGATGGGCCCGTGTGATTCATAACTGGATGGGGCTGCTCGCCCTGCCCAAATATTATTTGTAGGGAACGTTAGGGCTTCATAAAACAAAACTACAGTAAGCACAGACTAAGAGAGCTAATTCCACCCAAGATGTGTTTTATACAAGCCCCCTCTGATGTGTCAAATCAGAACAGCATTCTTAGAGCCACTGATGTACATCAGAGAGATCGTGGAGCTGAGGACACGGCCTCCTGGAGATGGAGAGAAACCGCCAGCCCCTCCTCCTGACGCCAAGGAGCTGGGGTCCTTCCACAGCCCACTGCGCCTCCTCCTCAGACCAACGCAGGCAGATCAAAGCCCCGGATGCTGAGGCTGAGGCAAGAGCCGCTCTAAAAGCCCCGGGTCTGCTGTTAGGAACTCAATTTCTGTATTTCAAGTGCTCCTTCACTGCCACAATCCAGTCTGACACGAACATCACAGAGCACGATGTGACTGCAGACCGTTATGGGAAGCCCTCCCTACAAAGGAGCAAAGCCTACCTATGTCCTGATGGAGGAGAGCACCTTCAGGAGGAAAAACAAAAACAGAAGAAACTCAAACTCACCTCATCTGTTTTCCTTTCACAGTCCACGGGCAATAATTTCACTGAGACCAAGAGAAGAAACAGAGAGGTTAAAAGTGTGAGGAAGAGAAGATGAAGATCACTCAAAAGCCAGGGGAAGCAAAACATTCCTGACACAGGGTGGGATTAGAGAGATGTCGTCTAATTGCAGACTGAAAAATGCAAGGGTTTCCCCCAACGGATCCCTACAGCTGCTACACTTGAGCAGCTACAGGTACTTGGGCAACTCAACTACCCAGAACTTGTGCATTCTCATCTGGAACGTGGGTCATCTGGGCCCTCCCTACCAGAGGCTCAGCAGGGCAACGTATGCAACAGCTTTAAGAGTGGTAAACAAGGCTGCTGCACTAAGCAGAGATCAATGCCATCCAGGCAAGGTAACTCCAGGGGGATCCCAGTCTATGTCCCCCAAACTATCCTCTTGTCACCTCAGCAGTGAGCATAAACGTGACACTATGTGGCATCACTAGTTTGGTTACAGTACCAGGACAGGACTGTGACACCCAGCTCCAATTAGTTTCTCTAGCAGGTGGGTCAACTATTCCCAGAGCTGACAAACTGCTCTCGCCCAGCAGAGAAACCCACTGGGTGACGGCCTAAGTCTGTGATCCCACAGACTAGCCAACACCGAGCCGTCCACGCGCCGCAATGGCTAAGGCGCGATTTAGCTTCCCCCGCTCACACTAGGCATGGCAAGGTGGCCTGCAATGGGAACAGAACTAAGCACATTCATGCTTTATAAAGAACATCAGAAGCTGGTGGACCAGTGTCATTTTTATACAATTTTCAATGAAACGATCTTTGTGCTGCTTCCTGTTAGACTACAGCCCACAGTTAACAGAGAGGCGAAACACACCAATCTGCAGCTATAAAGGCAACGGCTGTGTCCTGCACGCTTCTCACTGGGGCATCTGATAATGCAAGTGGACAGCTGGGAGTAGCCCGGAATCAGACCCTCTCCTGACACAGTCCTCAAGGGTGCACCATGTACAGGTAAACGCCTCCCCTTGGGATCGCTTTAAGCCGTCAGGTTCATCCACACCAGCTGCACTGGCAGCGCTACCATAATCTGACAAATGAAAGCCCTGTTTGGTACCAACAAATGGTCTTTTTGGTGCTGCAAGGCTGGGACCCCCGCTAGATGCTGTCTGTAGACCAGTGAAAGCTGGGGTGCCTTCAGATGGGCACTGAAGTGTGAATGAGCAGGACAGCAGAAGAATCAACCAGGGCGGTGCTGTCTGCTGGGGGTGTGGCCTTCTCTCCAGGAGGAAAACGAGAGGGCCTGGGAGAATTCCACCTGCTCCCAGCACGTGGCTGGAAGGGAGGCGTCAGGCAGAGGGCTAGGGCAGGGCAGAGTAGGAGAAAGTGAAGGCAGAAATCCTCGCAGACGCTGGGAGGAGGAAGGGGAGGTCTGGAGGTGAGGAGACTGGGCGGTGGCCGGCCGGCCGCGACTCCCGGCCCCCCTGCGCCGGTCGGGGACGTACTGTTGTCCTCCGCCTCCTGCGGCGCCGAGGGCTTGCCCATCTTCACCCAGAGGATGCCCAGGAAGACGAGCAGCAGCCCCAGGCTGGCCCAGAGCAGCAGCCGCGACAGGCAGCGCTCCAGCCGCCGCCCCGCCTCCGGCCGGGCCCGCGCCGTCGCAGCAGCGCCCGC